ATTTGTCTTCAATGGCTTTCTGCTCCTGAGGGCATCTAGTGGTAAATTATCAACAATTTCTCATTTATTAAGCTTCTACCAAGGACCAAGAATTTTAATAAAATGCATCATTCAGTCATCACAACTACTCTGCAAGGCAGCTCTTATTAGCTCCATTTTTACAGATGAGCGAAACTGAGACCAAGATGAGTAACTTACCAAGGTCAAAGAGTATTGTCTTTCTGAGCCAGCACTTAAAGGGCCTTTTCATACAGTAGAAGTTAAGTACATAATGTTCAAATGAGTATTGATAAATGTTGACGTGAGAATCTAGATTCTTTCTTCTCTACTTATATTGATGGGACACTTGTCTCTAGTTCCGGAATATCCAAATCAGTTCCCTTCTTTGCCACATGCATGAACAGCATGGCAAATGGCCTTAACACATACCTGTATAAATAGGAAATCCCTCACCCATGGAGAACTATGGAAAACCCATATCACTGCTTATGCCCTTAGCACGAGAGCCAAGGTCAGATGTTACCCTCTTCTGAAAAACCTTAGAATGGTTCTCCATTGCCTTAACATGATTAACAACAGTTTTTGATTTCTTTGCACACTTGTAAATATTAAAATTAAGAAAGAGGCTGGTGCCCAGTTGAAAGTATTGAGTGGATTACTTCTAGGCATGCAACTATTTACTCGGTTGCTTTTTGCATTTGAAGTGGTATTTACAACCTTCCCATTGCCCTGACTGTGCTTGTTTATATACACACAAGGTGTCATTCAATCATGCTGCAGTAAATACTGCCTTGGCATTCTATGCTATCTCTTTCTACTTGTTCTTTGCAAGTTGTACACTGCCTAGGCTATGACACATAACCCACTAAGCTTACCTGAAACATATCCTCAAAACGGTATGCACTGTGTGTGTGCTGCAGCAAAAATAAAATTTAAGTTTTAATTTAAAAAAAAGTGGTAGCATACCTCTAAGAGTTGTGGGCACCCCAATGTGCTGTTTCAGCAGCTGCAAGGGCAAAGGTCTTGAGCTTGGTATTTAAGACTCTTCATAATTTGGGCCCTATAGAGCTTTCCAATCTTCTTCCAACTGTTTACCTTCCCTCCTCCAAGTGAGGTTAGATTGACCTAAACCTTGTCCCTCACTTTCTATTCCCTGTGTCTGCGATGACTCTGTTTTGTCTACATAGAATGTCTACCCTCCTCCCATTTGAATGTAAAAGCCAAGTGCTGCTTTCTCCAAGAAGTCATTCTTGAGTCTTTCCCTTCCTACCTAGAGATCATCCCTCCCATGTCTCACTTTTTGCATGTGACTTGTTAGATTTCTCATCACTTTGTCTCTTGTATTAGACATACTCGTAAATACATCCTAACTCCTTTATTAAATTTTAAGTGCTTTAAAATATGATCCATGGCTGAATATCTACTCGGACTGCGTCACTCAAAGAAGAAATCATTCTACCTTATTTAACATCATAGGAAGTCCTTAAGGACACTCACTGCCATGTTTTGATTTGATTTTTTTAGGCACAGCAATTAATTTTTCCCAGTTCATTTTGTATCTCTGTTTGTATCCTGCCTGTATCCTCTGGGCCTACCCTGGAGCTTGCATGTAGGTGGTTCTTGGGCTTTTCAAGGGCATTCTCTGGCTGCAGGGGCATTCTTGGCCTGCGTTGGTATGGAGGGCAGACCCAAAAGTACTAGAGATTTAGCACCCTAAGAATGACCTTCGACAAGTGAGGAGTTAGTGGATAAATGCCCTGGCTTTCTCCCCCATCTGCAGGACAATTCTGAAGTGTGTCGCAAGCAGTCTTGCTGAGGGGTCCTCGGTGGAATTAAACTCCTCTGGTCCACAGCTGTACTGCACACTGACACACCTTTCATTGTCTTTCCTTTCCTCCTATTCTCATTTCACCAGCTCTTCCCAGTGTTTTCTAAATAAATTATTTGTTCCCAAATTTTTGTCTCAGGGTCTGCAGTTGGGGGACACAAACTAAGACTATTTCTATCCTCTTCCTATAATCTTTGGTAATCAGATCTGAGATTAGAATTTGGAACACAGTGAACATGACTGACTGGCACAGAAACTCGTCTCATTATCTCCAGCAGATCCTACAAGGTAGGACTTGTCCAGAGGATACAAGAAACACAGCAGGCCTGGTAGAGTAAGCTCATAGGAACCAGCAGAGCCAGCTGGGGCTGGGGCCAGAGTAACTTCATCTTGAAATTACTGTTGTATTCAGTGTTGGGAAAAGTAATTGGCTGCACTGAATAACTCGAAAAAATACATCTATTACTGTTTGGATAATAAAATAAAACCAGTTATCATATATTTAGGAGTTCACAAACATGCCTGCTTATAATGCTGAGAATCTCAGCTCAAGATCTAATACCTGATCAGAAAGACAAATGTTCTTCACAGTAATGACATTTTTACCATTACAAAAAGAGCAATTTACTTTTCCAACTTCCTCTTCTTACTATCTTAGCCTGTCAGAGAAAATCGCAGTCTCACACATGAAATATTTTCAAACTGGAGGTGGCAGGTTTATGGAAAATTACTCTGAATGTATTTGGGCTCAGACCAACTCTCCCAGCTCTATATTATTCATGATAAGCATGATTTCCAAGCCTTGGCTTTGTCAGATTTTCTTATTAATTGTTAATGTAACAGCTAAGTCTCCCTGGAGTGTGTGTTATTTTCTCATTTATAAAATCATAAGCCTTGGGATAATCCTTCATTAGATCAATAATATTCTCATCAAACGAAAGTAACACTGCCCACGTGAGAGATATAATAGGTAACAGTGGCAGTGGAGTGCTGTTCCTATTACCTTGTGAGTTTGTCTTCTCGTCTCCATCCCCACACTCACTTGGAAAGCTTATCACCTGGACTAAAGCAACAGCCTCTTAGTCAGACCACTGGCCCTTCCCTAAACTTCTCTAAAACATCCTCCACGGTGTCACGGGGCACCCAGCCCGTAGATCTCACTACTCTGCTCTGAAACCACTGAGAGTTTCTATAGAGAAATTTTTTTTTTTTTAATCTACCCCACATACACTTTCCCCTCCCAGCAGAGCCCCTCATTTTTCTTTGTGGGCAATTACTCTTCCTTTTTGGGTGCAAACCTGAAAGAGCCTCTGGATTTTATCTTTCTACACTCTGGATCTTTGACATGCAGTGGTGTACAGGAACATGGTCGGAGGTGTTGTATGCTGACCAGACTCTTTCTGCTGGGTGATCACTGCTGATATTTCTCTTTCCTGGCCCTTTGGAGCTGCTATGCTCCACGTAATCCTGTTAGTCTCCAAGGTGGATTCCCCAGTCACCCTGTGAACTTTATAAACCTCCAGTGTACTTCCTCTAAGTATACTTTAGCTTAACATAGAATCCATTTCCTTTGCTTATAAGCAAGGAACCCTGGCTAACACAGCTCCCCACTGCCTTCAAGATAAAGATCCATAATCTCAGATCTTGCCCATTCTCCCATTTCCACACTGCACTTTGGCCACACCCACCAAATCACCACTCCCTGGATACAGCACATATTTGTTCATGCTATTTCTTAGTGGACATCCCTCTCCCCATTGAGGATTATTCCTTACAGTTTAAGGCCAAGATCAAAGGCCTTTCTCTGTGAGGCTTTCCCTGATCTTTGCATCTGCTCCTTTTCCTCCAGGCAGACTCCATTCCTCCCTCCCCTAGGGCCCTATAGTTTATTGTTCCACATAGCACTTATCACTCTTTATTAGATTTATGTGTTGGTATGTATGAGGTTCCCGAAGGCATAGTTTGTAACTTACTATTTTTTTTTTATTATTACTAGTTTCAGGAATATAGTACATTAGTTAGACATTTATATTGTTTATAGAACTGAGATGAGACATCACTTGTAAAATTCTTAATCTTTTAGCAGAAAATGAAATGGAATATCTCTTGCAGAGTTAATCTTTTTAGTAAACTTAGTTTTCTTCCCTCCTTTCTTTGGAAAAAAGGCCCTCTTCCTCAAATCCTGATAATTGCCTGAAACTGGTGACTCAGATCCTCTGGCTGTTGATAAGGGTCATCAGCCCATTGTTAAACAGAAATGGTGTTAAGCCAGGCAGGGCCCTTAGAGTCTGAGGGGGAGGGGACTTTAGGCCAAAAGTCTTTTTGCTCTTTAAGAAATATATTAACCAAGCCTGTTTTTAAATAATCAGTTCAAATCTTCTTTTCCTTGTCTAGGGACTGAGGTGGCACTTCAGTAGGAAACCCAAGACCCCACCCTGACTGAGGCAGAAAGGGAAAGTGCTCCATGAAACCCCTGTAGTTAGGGACTCAACATCCATACCAATAATAAGGAGGTTCATGGCTTTTAGAAAAGAGTTAGGCAGTAAAGTTAGTTAGGGGATTCGGGTCTGCCTGCAAAGACAGTGAGGTCATCCTATCCCAGAAGGGGTCTTCCCTAGTCTACCCACAATTAAGCAAGCCAGAAGGCATTTTTTTAACTCAAAGAAACCAGTAGGCAGAGAATTAGGTACCAGTTTAAGCCAGTCGCTTGCATCTGTGCAATGAAGACCCCAAAGACCTTCAACTCACCTGAACCTCATTATGCCATCATTATAATATAATGCATATGCCTGGAAGTTCATTAATATCATTATAACAGACTGAATTCTGGGAACAAACATGCACAGAAAGCAAAATGATGAATCACTGAGTCCTGTTTATCTTAGTTGTCAATCAAGGAAGCCCACTCAAAGTAACCACCTACAGCAAAAAGGAATAACAACCCCGAAGTCTTTGTTACCAGGCCTTTTGAGCCATGCTGCTCTTGCTCAGGCCCGCTTCCACTTCTGGAAGTGTACTTTTCTTTCTAATAAAACTTTTCTTTTCTACTATATTTCGGTGTCTTCTCAGTTCTTTGTTTAAGACATCAAGAACGTGGACGACGCGCCAGGAGAGGACCCCACTGGCCGGTAACAGAACGATCCCCTAGTTATGCTTTCTCTCTTCTGGCTCTAAAAATATGGAACGCTTCACGAATCTGCACGTCATTCTTACGCAGGGGCTATGCTAATCTTCTCTGTATCGTTCTAGCTTTAGTCCATGTGCTGCCGAAGAGAGCGCACGTAGTATTTTTATTCTTTATCACCCTGAATAAGTCCTATCGGGTTTAGGCATGTCATGTGGTAGTTCAGCATGATGACCTGGTGTCTCACTTACCTGGGCTCAAACACCAGCTCTGCCGTAACTAGCTGCTTGGCTTTGCGCAAGTTAGTTGAGCTTTCTAAGTTGATTCATCTATAAAATGGGGATAATAGTGCTGACTTTAGAGGATGGTTGTGAAAGTAAAATACAGCCTGGAGACAGCAGTCACCACCACTAGGTACTCAATCAATGTGTGTTGAAAGAATAACTGAACAGATTCAAGTTTCCTCTAGCACCTTGATAAAAGCAACAACATTACAAATGAAACAAGTAAAGTCACTTAAGGGTAATGAGAAGCACATATTGCAAGGAATTATAAGTGTGTGTATGGGTGTGTATACACATGTGCTGTTTCAAGGCCTCTCTTTTGTTTAGAGTCTAGCAAAACGAATGGGAAAGACTGGTTTTCTGGGACTAGCCCATGCGATCTCAGATGAAACAAGAAAGCTGGAAGTGCCTCTACCCTACAACCATGCTGATTATGGTTCTCTGGACCCAGCCATACAAAGATAACTCTCTTGTCTCTTTAGAAAATAGCCTATACAGCGCCACAATGTACTGCTCAGTCAGAGGGCTATGCTCTAGAAAATGAAAATATATTATTTTATATAATTAACTAAGTGGACTTCAGTTACTAGCAAAGGAGCTTTTAAGTTGAATGAGGATGCTAACCTGCTCAGGGCATTTCTGCTGAGTCAACCAAGTGAGCAATTGTGACTACAGGAAAGGGTGGGTTGGTTTGCACATGTGTCTATTTATATAATAAGATAAAATCTTTGATTTAATTACACAGTGTAGATGTATACACGATGGCGATAGCTGTCTGGGGTAACATGGTACTCAAATAATAGCAAATTAGGAGGGAAAAAATATGCTTGGTGATGAATTAAGGTAGGGAAATTCTTCAGATATTTGGGAAAAGAAAGACTGAATTCTAGTTCTAATTTTACCAAAAAGGGCAGGGCAGATTGCACAGTAAAATCATATCTTCATTCTTCTGACTCCAAGATGGATTCTGCAGCAACACAATCTTCCATTGGGCAAAATACAATGAGATGCAGTCATACCATTGAACACAATTTTTGAGGAGCTACTCAGAATGACTGCAGGAGGAGAAGGGGATCCCAGTGCCTGCTGTCCTAATTTTTGAGTCCTTTGTGGGCCTCAAGATGGAGGGAGAACCCCTCTGAGATAAGGACCAAGTGACTGGAGGATCCCTGCTGCACAGTGGAGGGAGTGCTCCTGTGGAACCTTGGGCAATTCAGGCCAAGGCTGGGTGTCAATCTTCCTTCTGGAAAATGAGGAGCTTAGGAATGTGATCAGAGCTTCTCCACTAGGCTCCTGTAGCTCCAGAGTTCTGAGGAAGGGAGGAGCTCTGGGCTTCACCCCAGCCACCCACTCCCATCTCAGCAAAGCAGCCATGCTTTTATATGTGTTGTAAAATTGGGTGAAACAAAAAGACTGAAGGTAAATATTTAGGAAAATTCTGGTCTAGACAATTGTGAATGAGAACATTTAATAGTACTTTCCATGGGCCAGGCTCTTTTCTAAGCACTTTACATACATCGAATCGTTTGATCCTCACAACATCTATGAAGTGCTTTTTTTTTTTTTTAATTTGATTTTATTGGTTTCAAGTATACAGTACATTGATTAGACATTTATATAGTTTACAAAACGATTCTCTTAATTGCTTTCCCTCCTCTGGTTATTCCTACTTTATAGCTGAAGAAACTGAGCTATTAAGCAACTGGCCCAAGTTCATAAAGCTTGTAAGTGGCAGAACTGGGATTTGAACCAAGGCAGTCTGGCTCCATGACTGGTGTTCTTAATGCCTATGCTATATCACTTCTCCCTAATTTCTTTCTTTCTCAAAGATTCCATGAGTCCAATATCAGAAACTTGGGTTCATCTTTAAACATAGATCTTGTCTCATAAAATCAACTTTGACATCCAAAATATTCTCTACTAGAGGGCTTTCGCTGAGCAAGAATTCAGGCTTATTGCCTTTTAGCTAAAGATGGGCAAGAGAATGACTTGGGATTCCCTTAGCAGAATGTAGGCTTTTGAAAGACAAATGGGGATGTTTTCCTTCTTCATTCTTTCCTTTCTTCCTTTCACATTTACTGACAAGCTGCCATAGGCCAGGAACCGAACTAAACAGTAGAGAGAGGGAATTGAAGTCCCAGTTCCTGACACTAAGGACCTCAGAGTCTAGGGTGAAATGAAAATCTATAATTCATAGAATAAATCCTGAGGCAGCTATAAGCTAGCGGGACATGTCAATAAAGAAGGAGAAAGAATCCTAGAGGAGGGACCTTTACATATTTGAGGATAACAGCAAGAGGATTTAGCCAGATAGACAAAGCAGGAAAGGTCAACTCTGGCTAAATAAAGGTAGAACATATTCAAAGACATGCAGATGGGAGATAACACAGCATCCTTAAGGCCCTTCAAATAGTTGGCGTGACTGGCAGCTATCAAGTATCTGGGGTATCAATGATGGTGGCTCAAGAGAAGAGCAAGGACCTGGTAAGGGAAGACCTCATACATAAAGTAGCTTAGGTTTTGTTTATAAGACAATAGGAGGTCTCATAAATTACAGTATGAACTTACCAAAGGGATGCAGGAGATAAGAATAGAAAGAATGAACAGTATTTCTATTACTAATAAATCAACAGTAATTGGGTATATATAATTCAAGGCTAAGAACTGACAGGAGTTGGTCATGCTCATCATGGATCATTTTACATGATAGCTCCTTAGAATTTTCTGCAAGACAGATAATTACCCTAGAAATGGATGGCTCCACGAAGGACATACTCCTGGCACACATCCTGTGCATTGACCAGGAGGTAAACTGACATCCAGGCCACAAAAACCTCATTCCATTGTACCTGGCACATAAGCCCTTACTGCTCACATAATAAATGTGCCATTTGCCTTCTCAGTATTCAATTCCTTTTGCAAATACCTTTCTGGTAACCTTGGGTCCCAACCATTCTTTACTTTCTATCATGTGGCATAAACAGACTCTATCCTCCTAGTTTAAGGCCCAATAAAATAACTGGAGTGTTCATTAGATTTTCCCCAAATTAATTATTTTAGCCATTAATATTTCCATTGTACCTGGAAAGTGAGCACAGCCAAGAAAGGGGTCAAAGCTCCTCCAGTCCTGGTGAAAGGACAGGAGCTATTATTGATAGCAGATTCTCTGCTAGATCTGCTCAAGGGATTATTTCCCTTACTCCTCAAGGTAAGCTGGTAAAGCAGGTATTCTTCTCATTTACAGATGAGAAAACTGTACAAAGAAGTAAATATCACTACGTGAGGAGGTGCTGAAGGGATCCAAGCCCAGGTCTGTGTGACCCCAAAGCCTGCACTACTATTCTCCAAGCACAGTTTCTCTTAAAAAACTGCAAAAGGTTAAAGAAATTCCATGCAGTAATGTGCATGGATGTGAGGAAAATTCTAGTATTACTATTTGGATACCAGTGCTGATTAAATCGCTTATAATATTGCAGGGTTACTTTAGGTGACCTCACATGTGGAGCATTTTTACCAGCTTTTGGTTCTCTATTACATTCCAGCTGAAGCTTTCAGGCTGGGCTGTCAGATCCCATCAGGTAAGATGGGATCTTAGGAGGTTCTTATCATGCAAACAGGACTCATCTGCTCTTCTCTTTGGCTTAGCTGTCTCTACCTCCTGCTGGGTGATATGATTCAATAAGCTGGGCTCTTAAAGAAATTGAGTTAGATTTTAGGAAACTATTACACTCCCACCTCTCCTCAAATATCTCCAAGGATTTGATCCTGGTACAAGAGAAACTCACACCTATTTTAGTGTGAGGAGCAGAACACATTCAGTCTGGGGAGATGACATCATGCAAAGGGTGGCATTTCCGTAAGCATAACTGAACATAAACACAGCCTTCTTATTAGCATGTTTCAAATATTTAGCAAGATCAAGACTACATTTACATGCATAATGTCTGAAATAATGTACCTTCTGTTGTGAATGAACCTTGAAATTGTGAGGTGCCTAAGGCAAAGTTCTTCATCTGCTTTTCTAAGGTTGCATTTTAATCATCTTGAAGATCCCGGAAGTATAAGGGGACATTAAAACAAGAGCTCACATGTTAGCACCTATAGTCAGAAAACTGACAGTTCCGATGGCAAAATCTCCCCAGGAGAGCCAGCATCTGTCACTGTAGGTGCTGGGAGAAGTATCTGGGGCTTGTTTTGAGGGTTCTGTTCCTTTGATATCATTGTTTTCATAGCAGAGTTGTGTAAGGAGATAATAATACTTATTCATCTGTTGATAAGACACTGAGTTATTCATATCTTAGCTATTGTGAATAGTGCTGCAATGAACATGGGAGTGCAGATATCTCTTCAAGATCCCAATTTCAATTCTTTTGGGTATATACCTAGAGGTGGGATTGCTGGATCATATGGTGGTTATATTTTTCATTTTTTGAGGAATCTTCATACTGTTTTCTATGGTGGCTGAAATTTGCATTCTTAACAATAGTGTACAAGGGTTCCCTTTTCTCCACAACCTTGCTGACACTTATCTTTTTTTTTTTTTTTTTTTAAATAAAAACCTTCCTACTAGGTATGAGGTGATATCTTGCAGTTTTGATTTGCATTTCCTGTTGAGCATCTTTTTATATACCTGTTGGCCATTTGTATGTCTTCCTTAGAGAAATGTGTATTCAAATTCTTTGTCCAATTTTTAACCAGATTATTATTTTTTTTTTGCTATTGAGTTTCAGGAGTTCAGATGAATGAACAAAGAAAATGTGGTTTAAACATATGATGGAATGTTTTTAAAAAGTAAATCTTGCCATTTGCAACAACATGGATGAACTCAAAGGACATGGATAAGTGAAATAAGCCAATCACAGAAGGACAAA